TTGCAGATATGCAGTCTCTTCTCCACAGACCTCCCACGGTTGGTGTTAGGGAGAAAGATCGGAAACAGGGGAAGGTACTAGAGAGAGAATCCCTGGGTGGTGCAGTCCTAGAGCATTACTAGAGTCAATGCAAGAACTCCCATCCAGAACCTTCTCCCCAACAGAACAAAAACCTTAAGACAATTAGAGTAGGGCAGCAAATTCAGGCCATGGGTGAAGATCCATTGCAGCTGGGAAAAGGAAAAAAAAAAAAATACCCTCTACTCTTGGGGGAGGGGCATGAAACAGTTACATAACAATAAAGGGGGCCGGGTGTGGTGGCTCACGCCTATAATCGCAGCACTTTGAGAGGTGGGCAGATCACGAGATAAGGAGTTCAAGACCAGCCTGACCAACATGGTGAAACCTTGTCTCTACTAAAACTACAAAAATTAGCTGGGTGTGGTGGCACGTGCCTGTATTCCCAGCTACTCAGGAGGCTGAGGCAGGAGAATCACTTGAACCCAGGGGGCAGAGGTTGCCGTGAACCGAGATCGCCCACTGCACTCCAGCCTGGGTGACAGAGCAAGACTCCGTCTCAAATAAATAAATAAATAAAGGGATCAATTTACCAAAAAGACACAACAATCCTAAATGTATATGTACATAATAAAAGAATTTTAAGATATATAACAAAAAAACTGAGAGAACTGAAAGGAGAAATAAGCAAATCCACAAATACAAGTGGAGACAAAATCACTCCTCTAATTGATAGGACAAGTAGGAGGAAAATAAGTAAGGATATAGAAGACTTAAACACCACCAACCAACTTGAGTTGACATTTACAAGACACTCCACTCAACAACAGAATGCATACACGTTTTATTTTCAAGTGCACACAGAACATTTCCCAAGACAGACCGTATTCTGCATACAAATATACAAAGACTTTTCCAGAAAAGAGGAAAGCAGTAAAGACTTTTCAGTTCACTCTTTTTTTTTTTTTTTTTCTGAGACAGAGTCTCACTCTGTCACCCAGGCTGGAGTGCAGTCGCATGATCTCAGCTCACTGCAACCTCCACCTCTCAGGTTCAAGCAATTCTCATGCTTCAGCCTCCCAGTAGCTGGGATTACAGGTGCGTGCCACCACACCCAACTACTTTTTGTATTTTTAGTAGAGATGGGGTTTCACCATGTTGTCCAGGATGGTTTCAAACTCCTGGCCTCAAGCGATCTGCCTGCTTCAACCTCCCAAAGTGCTGCAATTATAGGCATGAGCCACTGCGCCCGGCCTTCAGCTCATTCTTTAGTACAGCATTATCCTAATACCAAACCAGACAAAGAAATGAAAGAAATGGACAAAGAAGCAAGCAAGCCAGCCGGAAGGAAGGGAGGAAGGGAGGGAGGGAGGGAGGGAGAGAGGGAGGGAGGGAGGGAGGGAGGGAGGGAGGGAGGAAGGAAGGAAGGAAGGAAGGAAGGAAGGAAGGAAGGAAGGGAGGGAGGGAGGGAGGGAGGGAGGGAGAGAGGGAGGGAGGGAGGGAGGGAGGAAAAAATACAGCTGTCCAATAGAGCTTTCTGCTATGATGAAAATTTCTACACTATCCAATATGATAGCCATTAGCTGCATTTTAAGTAGTCCTTAAAATGTGGCTGATGTGACTGATGAAACGAATTCTTAATTTTATGGTGTAATTTAATCCATTTATATTAAAGTTAACATAGTACATGCGGATAGTGCAGCTACTAACCAATGGGCCTAATCAGCATAGATGCAAATACACGAAAAAATATGAACAAATGCTATCTAGCAATATATAAGAAGAATAAAACATCATGACTAAACCAGGTTTATCCAAAGAATGCAAGGTTGGTTCAGCATTTAAAATTCAATCAATGTATTTTCCCGTATCAGCAGACTAGAGGGAAAACCATATGATACTATCAATAGATTCAGAAAAAAACAACTGTCCAAAAAATTAACCATCCATTCACAATAAGATCTCATAGCAAGCGAGGAATTAAATGTAATTTCTTCAACCTGTTAAAGGACATCTGCAAAACTACAGGTAATATGCTTAACGGTGAAAGTCTGAACACTCTCCCCCTAAGATCAGGAACAAGGCAAGGATATCCACTCTCATTAGTCTTAATTAACATTGTGCTAGAGGTCCTAGCTAAAGCAATACAACAAGAAAAAGAAAGAAAATGTATACAGATCCTCCCACAGGATAAATGATGTTCAAATGACTCTCTTTCTTCAGAACCTCTTCCTTAAAATGCCATAAACCTTTGAATCAAAACTTCAGACCATGGCCACTGAGTGAAATAAATGTAAAAAAAAAAATTAATTAAAAATTTTAGAAACTTCAAACTAAATCTTCTGGCTCAAGTTCTACAAATCAAACAGAATCTTACTCTCTTCTTTCCCCATAAGTGATTGTTTGTTTTTAACATCTCCTTTGTCTTCTGCTTAGAGACCTGAGCAGAGTATCATGTGAAATGAAGAAATATATCTTCATTTCTTATGCAAAAAAAAAGTACTTCCAGGTGATTTTCTATTATTAATACTTTTTACTCATACATACTAGATGTAGGTATTTTGAGGGCACATTCGATAATTTAATATACTCATATTGTTTGTAAAAATCAAATCAGTATAATTAGGATATCCATCACCCTACTAATATCCAGAACCTACAAAGAACTCAAACAAATTTACAAGAAAAAAACAAACAACCCCATCAAAAAGTGGGCAAAGGATATGAACAGACATTTCTCAAAAGAAGACATTCATACAGCCAACAGACACATGAAAAAATGCTCATCATCACTGGCCATCAGAGAAATGCAAATCAAAACCACAATGAGATACCATCTCACACCAGTTAGAATGGCGATCATTAAAAAGTCAGAAAACAACAGGTGCTGGAGAGGATGTGGAGAAATAGGAACACTTTTACACTGTTGGTGGGATTGTAAACTAGTTCAACCATTACGGAAAACAGTATGGCGATTCCTCAAGGATCTAGAACTAGATGTACCATATGACCCAGCCATCCCATTACTGGGTATATACCCAAAGGATTATAAATTATGCCGCTATAAAGACACATGCACACGTATGTTTATTGCAGCACTATTCACAATAGCAAAGACTTGGAATCAACCCAAATGTCCATCAGTGACAGATTGGATTAAGAAAATGTGGCACATATACACCATGGAATACTATGCAGCCATAAAAAAGGATGAGTTTGTGTCCTTTGTAGGGACATGGATGCAGCTGGAAACCATCATTCTCAGCAAACTATCGCAAGAACAGAAAACCAAACACCGCATATTCTCACTCATAGGTCGGAACTGAACAATGAGATCACTTGGACTCAGGAAGGGGAACATCACACACCGGGGCCTATCATGGGGAGGGGGGAGGTGGGAGGGATTGCATTGGGAGTTATACCTGATGTAAATGACGAGTTGATGGGTGCAGCACAGCAACATGGCACAAGTATACATATGTAACAAACCTGCACGTTATGCACATGTACCCTACAACTTAAAGTATAATAATAATACATAAATTTAAAAAAAAATATATCCATCACCCTAAATATTTGTCTTTTATGCTAGAAATGTTCAAATTATTCTCTTTCAGCAGTTTTAAAAGTACACAATAGATTATTATAAACTATAGTCACGCTACTGATCTATCAAATACAAAGTCTTATTTCTTCTATCAAACCGTGTATTTATACCCAACGTGGTTTTCTTGTTGATTTGTTTACTTCCAGAGGCCCGAGGTTCAGACTGGAATATAATATGGAAAGGGTTATCATTCTTAGGTTTTATGCAAATGATTCATTCAAGGAATGTTTCTAAGAGAAACCAATAAAAGAAAGGGGAAGCAAGACAAAGAAGAAGAGAAAGCCAAACAGGGATGCAGTTCCAGGCAGAATCCCATAAAGGAGAATTTGAGCCCCTGGAGCTTAAGGCAATTCTGAAGTTAAGTTGTACCTCTGAGTTGTCCCAAGCCAGGGCAAGGGAGCTGGGTCTCCAAACATGCAGCCTATGGTTTATGGCTACTCTCACAAAGCCTTTACACTCCCAGGCGCTTCTTTTGTCAGACTTCAATAACCCAAGACAGTCTTCCAAAAAAAGAGCTCCAGATGTGAGCTCTTGGTAGTAAAAACAAACCAAAAGCCAGTTGTCACACAAAAAAATGGAATCCACGTACACCTGGGCAGAGCATCAACTTCATTCATCTCATACCCATTTATTGAGCATCTGCTTGGAACCAAATCTCCTGCTATGCTCTTTACAAACATCATCTCATTTAATCTTCATAACAATACTGACAGCTCTATATTGGTTTTTTGTATTCTTATTTAATCCTGACAGCAATACTCTATGAGGTAGTTCTTAGCAGTTCCATTTTAAAGATTCTAACATTAAGGTTCTGAGAGGTTAAGTAACTTTTTCAAGATCACATAGCTAATAAGTGGCAGGGGTGGGCTTCAAACCAGGGTCTATCTGGCCTCTGCCAAGTTTGTTCCTGCTTTTTCCTTTTATGTGTCATGTCGGTCTTCCTCTTCTCTCACCCATTACTCCCATTAAGTACTGAAGTCCCTCCTGCTTCCCAAGCCTATGCCTGTAATTCCATAAGCAGTTTCTCCTATTTAGACTGTTTTCACTGTTCACACTCTGGGCCCCTATCTAAACTTATCATCTCGTGTACCAGGAATCTGTCATTTCCCTACTCTGCTGGATGTCTGGTTGGAAAGGACTTCACTGATAAAATTCCAGCCAGGAATTAGTGATTGGAGATGGAAGGATAGAACTTCGTCTTAACTCAGATGAATGGATTTGTGTTTATTCTCAAGAATCCAAATGGGAAACTCAGTGGGAACTGGAATCTGATTTGACCATATGCAATAAACAAGGGAATGGAAGACAGCAGTCTTTGGAAAGAGTTTTTATAGAACATCCAAGAATTTTCTCCATAACTGTGGTATTCCCTTACCCAGTTCCTCAAGGAGTCTTCTCTCACTCTCTCATGCCTCCCTAGACACAGAGAAAAGAAAGGTCTCCAACTTCTCCAGTGGAGTGGCCCAGCACTTTCTGCTCACCTCCTCTCTGGATGACAAATCCTAAACAATGAACAAAGCATATTAAATTAGCAAGCAGTGGCCAGGCATGGTGGCTCACGCCTGTAATCCCAGCACTTTGGGAGGCTGAGGTGGGTGGATCACGAGATCAGTAGATCGAGACCTTCCTGGCTAACATGGTGAAACCCCGTCTCTACTAAAATACAAAAAAAAAAAAAAAAAATTAGGCAGGCGTGGTGGCGAGCGCCTGTAGTCCCAGCTACTCGGGAGGCTGAGGCAGGAGAATGGCGTGAACCCGGGAAGCAGAGCTTGCAGCGAGCAAGCCACTCCAGCCTGGGCAACAGAGCAAGACTCCATGTCAAAAAAAGAAAATAAAAAAAAGAAAGAAATTATAGTCATGAGTTGAAACTGACCCTGTCAGGCTCCAAAGCCACACTCTTTATTATAATGAATAATAGCACAGCGGTAATGTACCCAGCCTCTGAGGTCAAACTGTCTTCAAACCTCAGCTATGCCACTTATTGGCTGTGCAACTCTATTAGTTTACTAGGGTTTCTGCAACCAAGTACTATAAACTGGGTGACTTAAACGACAGAAATTTCCTACCACACACTTCTGGAAGCCAGAAGTCCAAAATCAAGGTGTGATGGCAGCGTTGGTTCCTTCTGAGAGCTACGAGACAGAATCTGTTCTATGCATCTTGCCTGGTTTCTGGTGGTTTGCTGGCCGCCTTTGGTATTCCTTGGCTTATTGAAGCATCTCTGCCTTCACCTTCACATAGAGTTCTCCCTGCATGCACCTGCGACCAAGTTTCCATTTCCATTTTATTTTATTTATTTTTATTTTTTGATACAGAGTTGGAGGTTGCAGTGGCACCATCTCGACTCACTGCAACCTCCGCCTCCTGAGTTCAAGCGATTCTCCTGCCTCAGCACCCCCCAGTGGCTGGGACTACAGGCGCCTGCCACCATGCCCGGCTAATTTTTGTATTTTCAGTAGATACGGTGTTTCACCAACTTGGCCAGGCTAGTCTCGAACTCCTGACCTCAGGAGATCCACCCGCCTCAGCCTCCCACTGCGCCTAGCCAAATTTCCATTTTTTTAAATAAGGACACAAGTCATACTGAATTAGGGCCAACCCTAATGACCTCATTATAACTAGTTACAGCTGCAACTGATACAGGGGTTAAGAAGAAATTATTTAGGCAGATAGTGAGGGTATAGGAGTCCTCAGTAAGGTTTTCGTTTTAATGAAAAGCAGCCCCCAGATCATTTTCTTTTCTAACAAAGAGCAGCCTTTAGAATCGAGCCGCAGACACAGGGAAGTGAGCTAGAAGCTGGCACGGGTGGAAGTTGTGCCAATGAGAAAAGGCTACCTGGGACTAGGCATGTTCAAAATGGCGGCTCCACGCTGCCTTCTGTTTGCTAGCCACGTGTATAGTAAGGAGCAGACAACATGGCGCCGCCCAAGTGGCAAGCTCATATGCATAGTAAGATTAGGGTAGATGGCCAGCCTTCCCCACGCACTATGTAAATATCACACCTGATCCAACCAATCTGTGGGCCCTACGTAAATCAGGTACCACCTCCTCCAGCCTGTCTATAAAATCCAGGGAACGCCACCGGGGCAGGCTTTTGCTTTCCAGCACCCTTCTCTCGCGCAAGAGAGCTGTTCTCCTTTCTCTTTCTTTTGACTATCAAACCTCCACTTCTAAACTCACTCCTTGTGTGTGTGTCTATATGTTTAACCTTGGCATGAGACGACAAGCCTTAGGTATTACCCCAGACAAGGATGCTGCTTCACAATGATCCTGTTTCCAAATCAAGTCTCATTTGAAGGTACTGGAGGTTAGGACTTCAACATATGAATTCATGGCAGGGCTTGGGAGGGAAGGGGCACGTAATTCAAGCTATAGTAGTTGGCAATTACTTTTTCTCCCTGTGTCTCATCGTATTTATCTGTCAAGTGGGACTATAATAGGATTGTGAGGAATAAAGGAATTAACATGCATAAAAGCCCCTAGAACAAAGGCTCAACAAACTTATCACCCAAGGACCAAATACAATGGGCTTCCTCTTTTTGTACAGCAAGCAAGCTAAAAATGGTTTCCATATTGTTAAAGGGTTAAGAAAAAAAAAAGAATAATATTTCATGACACATGAAAAATGAGATTTAAATTTCAATGTCCATAAAGACTTATTAGCACTTAGCCACGCCCACTCATTTACATACCGTCTGTGGCTACTTTTGCACTACAAAGGCAGAGTTGAGGAACTGCAGCCTCTACAGAGACCGGATGGGCCACAGATTCTAAATTATCTACTGTATGACCCTTTATGGAAAATACTTGCTCACCATTGACCTAGGAGGTTACCCAGCCTGTAGTAGGCACGGTGCGTCTTAACATTGCTTATGACGCTATTTTTCCCTTTTCTTTCACCATAAGAGGAATTCCCTGCCTCTGCATTTCCTTTTGTAGCAAAGATAATTTTCAACTCGTATAATAGAGGACAGAGGATGTCCCTTGGAGCCGGTCCCTATGTGTCCTGAGGGTGGGCGGGGTCCAGCCCTCCCAAACTCCTCCCCTGAGTTGGCTGGTTTCCCCCACCACGCTCAACAGCTGCTCCCCTGGCTACATCAAGTCCAGGCCAGTGAACTTGCTTCTCTCCCGCTTGTCTCAGCAATTTTGTTTTCCCCCACTGCACAAGTTCCCAAAAGCTCCAACGAGTCCAAAGGTGAGCACTTCCAAACCTTTAATTATTTACATCTGAGACATTCTAAGGGCTTTTTCTCCCTTTCAGTCACGTCAGCAGTTGGCATCCCAAGCACAACACTCCTCCCTCCTGTCGGAAGCTTCTGCCTCCTTCCTACAAATTGTAGCAAATTGGCATTTTTTGTTCCATTTTTCACTGGCCAAAAAAAGACGTGAAGCGCCATGTTAGTTGGATGGTTCATCTGGGCTGCCCAGGAGGAAGGGGGCAGAGGAAGGTGGCGTGGACAAGACAGCAGTGTGTCGGGGTGTTTGCAGAGAAGGAAAAAGAATATTTCCATGCGGAGTCAGCAAAACTGGCAAACATGGAGAAAAAAATTAACAGTTCAGATGGGGAGAAGAAACACTTGTTCTTGCAATGATTTGAAGTGTGGAGAGTTTAATTACCAGAGAGACCACAATTGTTTGGCTCCACATGTTCATGGCTGTGTATTGGATGGTATGTGGTGTCCTCTGAATGATTTTTTTTCTTTCAGAATTATAGGATCTAGGAATAAAACCAAGTTATAGGCAGATTAAAGTCCTTAACTCTTAATGAAAGGTTTTTATTCAGCCATATGCATTCATCCTCAGAATTTATTATCCAGACCTCCCAGTTGCCATTGAGGAGGAATTAGAAATTCTAAAAATAAGTCAGCTACGTGCACAGTACCTCTGAGGTCAGACCATTGTCCCCAAGGAGGACACAGCTGTTGTTATTGCCGTTGTTATGCCAGTGTGGCTCGAGTCACACTAGGATGGGGATGCCTCTGTGATGGGAACATGGGGGAAGAAAACTCTCCCCAAAAAGAACCCCAGCATGGTTCCCAAAGACCCCATGTTCTAAAAAAGTCTCTTCCTATGCAAATCTTTCTTTCCCCTAGTCCTGATCACCCTTCAGTTTTTCTCATTTCACTCAATGGCAACCCCAGATTCAATTACTGAGACCAAAAATCTTGGCATTGTCTGATACCTCCCTTTCTCCTACACCCCACATCCAATCTACTGACAGATCCTGCTAGTTCTATCCAGGACTGGTTACATGACTGGTGTGGCCAAGCCCAAACTAAAAATGCAGAGCCACTGTCCACAGGTCACATGGCCATAATAAAGTCAGCCCTGGTTCTACCTACAAAAACATGTCTGAAATCTGACCGCTCGTAACTTTCTCCACTGCCAACGACCTGGTCTGAGCTCCCACCTGGGAGCCTGCAGAGTCTCCTAACCGGCTTCCCAGACTCTGTGTCGAGCCCTTCTGTCTATTTGCAGCACAGCAGCCAGAGTAACTCACATGACATCTCTCTTCCGCTCAAAACCCTCTGCTGGCTCTTCATGTCACCCAGAGTAAAAGCCAAAGTCCTCACAATGGCCAGGAAGCCTGTTCCCATCCCCAGGACCTCTCTACCCTCACTTCTGACTCTCCCCCTTACACACTTTGTTTCAGTCACAACAGGATCCCTGACTGTCCTCAAACCAGCTGGGCATGCTCCTTCTGTCATTTCACCTTGTTCCTTCTGCCTGGAAGCTCATACGAGACCTGTGCACACTATATATGTGTGCTCTCCCTCACATACTTTAAGTCTTATTCATTCAACAAACATTTATTGAGCACCAGTGGTATGCCAGACACTATTATCCTTGGCACAGATGGTTGAATCTAGCATCTCTCTGATCACTGATGAGATACAGCGTCGTTTCCTACATTTGCTAGCCATTTTATAGCTGTTTTTTCTGTAAATTGTCGATTTGCCTTATTTAACACTTACATAGTACTTCCTCTGTGCCAAACACCACTCTAACAACTTTATAAAGAGGCACTGTTGTTATCCCAATTTTACAAATGGGGAACCTGGTTAAGCAACTTACCTGAGATTATACACCCATGTTTCTACTTGGTAGTTAATTTTTATCATATTGATTTGTAGGAACTCTTTGTATATAATGTCTATTATCCATTTGAGTGTTATGATGAATTCTACTGGCTGCATAATAGGGGAAAGACCATGTTGCCTCCAACTACCCTTGTACCATGTTTTTCATCCACCAAGCTGTACATACTAACCAGAGAGAACATTTCATTTTACCTTGTGCATTAGTTATCTATTGCCATGTAACAAATTATCTCCCCCCAAAAAAATAGCAGTTCAAAATCACAAATATTTATTTTGTTACACATATTTCAAGGGACAGGGATGTAAGAATAGCTTAGCTGGATGGTTCTATCAAGTACCATCAAATGGTTCTGCTGATTTGCAGTCAAGCTCTCAGCCAGAGTTGCAGCCATCTCAAGAT